TCTGCCAGGAGCGACATAGCGTGCTAGGATGCTAAGAGGGTATGCAAGGTCGGGTCGAGTGCAGGTCATCAGGTACATGAGGCAGCCCACAAGCTCTGGATACGGGCCACTCGGCTCTACGGACTCATCCGAAGGCAGAGCTGAGAGCGAGTGGCACGTAGGCAGAGGAGTGGGCAGAGGCGAGGAGTACGTGAAGCGGAAGCGCTGAAGGACCTGTTGCACCAAGTGTGACTGAGTCAGGGTAATGGTGCGCTGTGCTCTGTCCCGGGTGATCCGCAAGCCAAGATAGCTTGTCAGCTCACCCAGGTCTGTGCACGTGTGTCTCTTTTGCAGCTCCGACTTCACGTGGGCGAGTGCCTCAATGTTAGCAGTAGCAAAAACCAAGTCGTCTACGTATATGAGAACGTAGAACGGCGGCAGAGTGGTGTCGGTGCGTAGAAACAGCGACGGATCAGCAGTAGAAGGAGCAAACCCAAGAGCAGCAAGAGTCGTCCTCAATGTGTCGTGCCACTCACGGGGTGCCTGGCGGAGACTGTAGACCGACCGCCGGAGGCTCCACTGGGTACCAGGAGGAAACGACCTAGTAAAGCCAGGTGGGCGGCGTAGCCAGATCTCCTCGTGCAGGCTGCCCTGTAGGAAAGCAGTGTTGAAGTCAAGAGAGAGGAGCTCGTAGTCACGCTGAGTAGCGACGTGCAGCAAAACCCGAAGAGTGGTCATCTTCGCGGTAGGGGAGAAGGTCTGGAAGAAGTCAACTCCCTCACGCTGACTAAAGCCTCGTGCAACGTAACGCGCCTTGAAGACAGGCGGAGAACCCGGCGGCCGCTTCACCCTGAAAATCCACATGCCACTAACGATGTTCGCCCCAGGCGGGGGAACCTCGTCGACGTAGGTGCCTGTGGACTTCCAGGAAGCCATCTCTGCGTCCATGGCTGACTACCACTGAGAGGAGTAGGGACCCTCTATCGCCTCTGCGTAAGAGCGCGGGGTCGGGATGTCTGGTGCATCCGGGTCTCCCTCATGGGCAATCAGCATGGACACGAGATGAGGTAAAGCAGCGGCAAAGCACTCAAACTCCTCCTGCCTGTCCTCAAGGACGTCCGTGCTAAGAGCACACTCACCCCTGATGGACGGAGGACACACAGACTCAGGCTCAGCAACAAGACAAGCGGCGTATTCGAGACGACAGTAAGCAGCAAAGTCAACAAGCTCAGCAACTAAGGCAGACGCAGCAGTGGACTCAAAGGAAGGGTCAGTGACAACAGTAGCCAGGAGATGCGTGACAGTAGGACTAGAAGCACGAAGGGAATCAGACTCCGGGTCAGCAAGAGCTGGAAGAGAGGACGCAAGAGGAGACGGCAGAGGGACACGCTGTGGAGCAGTGGAAGGACGAATCGCCATCTGGTGTGTGCCTGGGACAGCAGGAGGACGCTGACGCGGAACACGACGACCATTGCGAGCAGCACAAATAGGCGACGCACGACGATACTCAGGCGACGCAGGACGAGACTCAGGCTCACGACGCTCCGTAAGACCTCCGGTCGGACCAGTGTAAGGAGAAGGACTAGGGAGTGGCGAGGTAGGCTGTAACTATGACTGCGACTGGACAGGCAGAGGACACTCTAAAGAGGGAGTAGGACCAGGAACAGGCGGGAACGTAAGAACCTGCTGAAGGAGCAGAACAAAGTACGGCCGCGGCCGCGCAGCGCCTCCAGAACCAGTAGAGACACCACCAGCACCCTCAGCTCCAGGGTCTCCAGCTACAACTCCCGCAGCACCACCAGTAGCTCCAGCAGCTCCAGCACCTCCAGCTCCAACTCCCGCAGCAGCTCCAGTCCCAGTAGCTCCAGAAACTCCAGTACCAGCACCTCCAGGGCCAACGGCCCCAGCACCTCCAGCACCAGCAGCACCTCCAGCAGCTCCAGCACTGGCAGCACCTCCAGCAGCTCCAGCACTATCAGTACCTCCAGCAGCTCCAGCACCAGCAGCACCTCCAATAGCTCCAGCTCCAGCAGTACCTCCAGCAGCTCCAGCTCTAGCAGCACCTCCAGCAGCTCCAGCACCAGCAACACCTCCTGCACAAGGCCCCCCAGCTCCAGCAGCACGGCCACAGTGCTGAGCGTACCACTCACGAAGCTGTCGTGGAGAGAGGGGCTCCCGCCGCAACGGGACACTCGGAGGACCTCCAGTCTCAGCACCCCCAGACTCAGCAACCCCAGGCTCAGCACCCCCAGGCTCAGCACCCCCAGACCCAGCACCCGCAGGCTCAGCACCCCTAGCAGCACCAGAGTCAACAGCTACCTCGACAGGCTCGACTGCGTCAACCTGGGACACACCTGAGGGGGCAGGACCCTGAGGGTGGAGGGGGTCTACCTGGGGAGGACCTGGCGTGAGGAAGAGCGGCGGGGGGGGGGGGGGGGGGGGGGGGGCAGTGCGGTAGGGGAAGAGACGGCAGTAGGGAACCGACTCGTCAAACGTGAAGTCTTGAGAGGACGGAAAACAGCGCGAGGTGGGGTGGTAAAACTGCCAGCCAGGCGCGTCAGGGGGGAAGCCAAGGAAGACGCACGGAACGGCACGAGAGGACAGCTTGTCCGCAGACAAGTCGCGGACGAAAGCTCGAGATCCCCAGACACGGAACGCAGACGCATCGCCAACCTTCCCCGTCCACCGCAGAGTGGGAGTGGTCTCCGGCATGGAGACCCGGGGCTGGAGGTTGATCTGATGCGCCGCGTACTGAACCTCAAACGGCCACAGAAAATGGGGAGCAGCCACATGGATCATGGTCGTACGAGCGACATCCATGACCATGCCAATGCGGCGCTCAGCAATCCCATTTTGCTGTGGAGAGGCCGGAAGCGTGAACGTCTGGCGGATGCCCTCCGCCCGACAGTAGGCCTGCAGAAGGTCGGAGGAAAACTCTCCACCTCTGTCTGAGTGCAGACGCACAACAGGAAAGTCTGAGCCAAAACTCTCTCTGAGCTGGAGATGAGCAGCGCGGATCCAGTCGATCAACACCTCAGTGACCTCACCCTTGCGGCGCAAGGGGAAGACTGTGGTGTAATGCGAGTAGTCGTCAACAACCAGCAGGAAGTAGCGCTCGTGAACCTGTCCACGGATGCAGGCTGGGCCCCACACGTCCATGTGAAGAGTCTGAGGGGAGCCTCTGTCGGAGGAAACTCGGAGGAGTGAGGAGCGGCGCGCTGCCGGCCCTCGACGCAGGGAACGCAGGTAGGGGCAGGTCCCGGAGGAAGGGGAGGAAGGGGAGGGGGGAGACCAGAGACAAGGACACAGGAGGCCATGCCTCTGAGACGAGGCACGGAGGGGTAACCAAGGTGGTGGTGCCAAAGGAGAGTCTCGTGAGACAGGAGACGACACGAGCAGGGGGGCAGACTCAGGGCCAGACCGGGACGCCGCAGCAAACACCTGATCCGACGCAGCTACCTGACCAGTCGAAGTGACAGGAAGAGACTCAGTGGTAAGGGTGTACAGGCTGGACCCTGGCCGACGGGTGAACGTGGCCAGGTGACGACCCGTCCGAGCACACGTGCAGTGTGTCACACGCTGATAGGTAGGAGTGAACTGGTGAACAACCCCATCCTGAAGATTAGCACCTGCCACCAAGTTTGTAGAGAACGAGGGGAGGTGAAGACCAGACAGCGAGCCGGACGGAGCCACAGGACACGGGAGTGTTGAGAGAATAAAGAGTTAATGTTGAAAGGTAGGGCCTAGGCTTAGTAGCCTAGGCCCGAACTAAGGTGTCGAGTAGGTTTTACCCTAGGCGAGGTATCGAGTGAGTTGAGAGAGGAATTGGAGAAAAGTGATGGTTTCACTATAGGTTCAAGGGTACATATAGCATAGGAACCAAATAAGGTGCACCACCAACAACAGTTTAAATAACTACACTAACTACAACTACAAGCAGTTATAAAACATGACAAATATATTTCGACACGCCCCCATAATGCTTGTAGGTAGATATGTAGTTACGCCATTCAAAAGAATAGCAAGCAACAGCAGGTACCCCTTCCATCTCCTCACCCTCCTCCTTCCCCTCCCCCACACTGCTGCAAGAGCAGCAGAGAAGGGGGGAAGAGAGGAGAGGTGGAGGGACGGCTGCATGTTGCCTCACACCCGCCACCCCGGTACCACTCCCCCTGCTCCCCCACATCCTCACACCCTCCCCCCCCAGCGGCAGCTGCAGCGGTGGGACTGAAAGAAGGAGGAGTGGAAGGAAGAGAGGTGACCCCACACTCCAACACCCGCCACCCCCATACCCTCCTCCCCACGGCTGCAGGGAAACAAAGGAGGAGGGGGGTGGGCGGGAAGAAAGCCGCAGAGCGGCGAAACGGTGTCGGTGCAGATGGGTCAGGGGTGGCTTCAGGGAGAGCAGGGGCGGAAAGGCCCGTCGCGTGCCAGTGCCACGGGGCGCACGACGGGTAGGATAAGAGAAAGGGCCCGATCGTGTGCCTCGGGGCGCACGACGAGCAGGGCACCATCGTGTGCCACGGGGCGCACGATGGGCAGTTGAAGGGCACCGTCGCGTGCCACGGGGCGCGCGACGGGCAGGGTAGGAGTCACACGCCCGTGGGCAGGACAAGGTAAAAATCGTCACGCGCACTAGGCGCGCGACCGAAAAATCATAGCGGAAGCGTAGGGCGGGCCCACAGGCCAGGACGTAACTCGCTCAGATAGCATGTTGAGAGAATAAAGAGTTAATGTTGAAAGGTAGGGCCTTGGCTTAGTAGCCTAGGCCCGAACTAAGGTGTCGAGTAGGTTTTACCCTAGGCGAGGTATCGAGTGAGTTGAGAGAGGAATTGGAGAAAAGTGATGGTTTCACTATAGGTTCAAGGGTACATATAGCATAGGAACCAAATAAGGTGCACCACCAACAACAGTTTAAATAACTACACTAACTACAACTACAAGCAGTTATAAAACATGACAAATATATTTCGACAGGGAGAACAGTGGAGGAACGGGCCACAAGTGGTCCCCCAGAGGGGTCAGCCAGAGAGACTGCCACATGCTGAATGAGCGGCGAGTGTGTGGTGCAGTCGCGAAAGAAGGAGCGGGAAGCATCCGAGTCAACGGTGAAAGTGTGGAAGACCTGAGCCGGCGCTGTACCTGAGAGAGCAGTCTCACCAGCACATGGAGCAGTAGACTCACTAGCACCTAGTGCAGCAGCCTCAATTCCCAGGTCGGGCGGAACACACAGGTAACAATCACCCTCAGCACTAATAGACACAGCATACATAGCAGCAAGGATAACATCAAAGTCAAGATCAAAGATAGCAACCCCCGACTTAAGCAGAATATCCCAGCGAGGGATCTCAGCAGAGCCAGGGAACTGAGTACTCCAGGTGTCAGTTAGGCGGCCGAAGCAGCGAGGTGTGGTGTGCGGGCCGCCGCACGTCTCTCCACTGCGGTCGCCTATGCGAAGAACGTAAGTGCAGGGACCAGGACCCCCAGACCTCCCACGCCCAGCGTACCACTCACGGAGCTGCTGAGGCGACAGGGTCTCACGGGAGCGCTACTGCTGCTGGCGCTGGTCACCGCTAGCGCCTCCCCGCTGCCCACCACCGCCCCCGCCACCCTCGCCACCGCCACCTCCACCCCCACTCCCGCTGCCTCCGCCGCCTCCACCTCCACCGCCGCCACCGAAGCCCCCACCCGAGCCACCACTCCCACCTCCACCTCCACCGCCACCACCGCCGCCACCTCCACCGCCACCACCGCCGCCCCCGCCGCCCCCTCCACCCCCCTTGCCCTTGCTGGTGTGGCGCCTCCCACTAGGAGCAGACGCAGCGCCGACCGACTCCGTACCAACGAGGTCGACAGCAGCAGTAGAGGCAACTGAGGGCAAGAGGGGAGAGGGGGAGCACCCCTCAAAGAAAGGGGCGCGAGGGTCACCACGAGAGGCCCCTACAGCGACTATACTCTTCTCAGCTGCAAAGAGGCGCTCTTCGAGGAGGTCAACGGTGAGCGTGGTGGGGCAGAGGGAGAGGAAGTGGTCCCTGACCGAGCAAAGGGAGTCAGGGAGCCGGGTGACGAGGTAGTAGAGAGTGATGTACATAGGGGGGGGGTTCTTGGTGCAGAACTCTGCAGGTAGCGCAGCGCGGTAGCGGGTGTCACTAGTGCGAAGGTGCGTGATGAGGTCAGTGACTGTGGCAAAAGCGGCTAGGTCAGGAAACAGGTACGGCAGCATGAGGCGACTAAGGGCAGCAGTGGCAGGGGAGGAGTAGCGCGCAACAACAGCGTTGTACAGAGTCCTAGTGGTCTTGTACTGACTAAAGTGCGCGCGCTCAGCAGACGGCAGGTGACTACGAATAGCAAGGCGGGCAGCAGCATCGCGAGTGGTCCACTGTGAGCGAACAACACTATCAGCAGTTGCAGCAGGTGCAGCAGAGGCGCCAAACGTGAGATCAAAAAGCGAGACCTGATCTTTGCTATCGCACTGCAGGATCAGCTATAGATCATCGACCCATACCTCAAAATCTACTGCCCGACCCTCAGCATCGAATTTGAGTATGTTGGGGGCAGCCATAACAGCAGTAGCAGGAGCAGTTTGAGCAGCAGGAGCAGCAGTAGCGACGCGACTCGATAGGGCGGCGCGGCTAGGCAGGGCGGCTCGGCTAGGCAGGGCGGCGCGGTTCGGCGGTGCGCTTACCAGGGGCGGGTGGGTAGGGAGGCCGCTACTGGTGGGGCAGGGCCGTGGTGCACCGGCAGGGTCGGGGCCGCAACTGGGCGGCAGGTCAGGGCCGCGGCTCGGCAGCAGGGCAGGGCCGGGGCAGAAGCGACGGCAGCGGCGGCGGCGGCTCGTCACACCGGCGGAGGCAGGCTCGGCGGCGGCGGCAGGGACAGCAGAAGCTGCAGGGCTCCTCGGCGGCTGCTGCATGGCTCCTCGGCGCCTGCTGCAGGTGGAGGCCGCGACTAGTGAAAGGGGCAGGGCGGGGCCGCAGTGGCGGGCCGCCGAGCAGAGCAGAGGAGGGCCGCTCCGAAGGCAGGGCAGGCCGCGACAGGTGACGGGGCGGGGCCACGAAGGGCCGTGAGGGGGGCCTCGAAGAGCCGCGAAGAGGGCCGCGAAGGGCCGGAAGGGGGGTCGCGACGGGTCATTAAGGGGCCGTGAAGGGCTGTGAGGGGGCCGCGAAGGGCCGCGAAGGGGGCGCGAAGGGCCGTGAGGGGGCCGCGAAGGGCCGCAAAGGGGGCCGCGAAGGGCTGCGAAGGGCTGAAAGAGGGGGGCGCGAAGGGGCCTTAAGGGACGCAACGGGCCGCTAAGGGCAGGGGACGCGACGGGAGGGCAGGCGCACGGAGCGCGACTAGGGCAGGCGCGAAGCGCGCTCCGGGCAGGTAAGGAAAAAAAGGTTCATAGTAGTGGTGGGCCCTAAAAAGCGTTCCCACTAGGGAACTTGCTCTATACCATGTGAAAATTACGAGGAATGAAATGACTAGAAATGAGTTGGGTACAAATGGGGAATCCTAGAAATGTTGTACCCCCTATTGTCTACTCCACTACAGCCTAAACAGGCTATAACATAAGTTTGACAAAAAATAAATTATATTTACCCCATGTCAGGGCGCTTCCGCGTGGTAGGGTTGAGCAATATTTTTCTGTCGATTATTGGGCAGCACCTCGACACAATCGTTCTTATTTTAATTTGGTAATCGTTTTCTGTTTGTGACACATTTTGGAAGGGTTTAGGGGCAGGTGAGTTGGGTGACGGAAGCATTTCACCATTTGTGACACAACCAACCCAACCCTTATTCCCTCACAGCAGAAGTGCTCCAGGTTTTCGCCAACATTCTCGCAACCCTTGTTTTTTTCGTCTCGGCGTTGAAGGTGCACACTGTACAAAACAAACAATAGTACCAAATGGATACCACTGCTTGAACAGCAAGAGCCAAACAGCGTTGAGAAATGGAGGTTGAGTACACAGGATGCTTAGCTGATGCACGCAAATTTGGTCTGCCCAATCTCGACAGACTTCCCAAATGCATTTGGTATGAGCCAGTTGCACGCACGATACAAGCCCCTATTTTGATCGCAGCCGTTAAACATCCACCTTATCACGCTGGCATCCGTCCATTCATAAGATATATTCTGAGAAGCTGGTTACACCTGCCCACTGTTGTCCCGATTTTGCCCGTGGCGAACGTTGGCGAGCAGGCGAAATGCTTGTTGCTCACTAAACACCCAAATGACGAGAAAAAATGTGGGTATCTAGCGGGCATCCTGTGTCCTGATGCAAAATGTCTCTGCATCAATGATAGATATGTTCTCGTTTATAGTCCGACGGATCAACATCGCCGCGCGCGGACTATGTGGCAAACCCTTCAAACCCCAGGCAGAACGTGATACTTATAGTCCCGTTCGGGAAAATTGCATGAAGAGTGGTTTTTTTGCTACTAGTTTCTGGAGTTTGGCATTTACGTAGATTTGGACCGCGCTTGCTTCAACTTCCAGTTGTCAGAACATATAGCTTACTTGTTTGTGTAGGCTATAGTGGGGTATCCCATAGGGGGTACAACACATTAGGGTTTCCTATTTGTATTCACTTCACTTCATAGTCATTCATTCTCGTTCTTTGTTTTCATATGGAACCAGAGCAGGTTCCCTCCTAGGGACTGCTTCTAGGGCCCACCGAACCGCGCCCCGAGGCGCGTTTTTTTTAGCGACCCGTCGTGTCGCCCCTAGCGGCCCGTTGCGCCGCCCTTCCCCTAGCGGCTCCGCCGCCCTTCCCTAGCGGCCCCGCCGCCCTTCGATCGCGGCCCCGCCGCCCTCTGCTACGCGGCCCCACCGCCGCCCTTCGATCGCGGCCCCGCCGCCCTCGGCTACGCGGCCCCGCCGCCCTCTGCCACGCGGCCCCGCCGCCCTCTGATACGCGGCCCCGCCGCCCTTCGATTGCGGCCCCGGCGCCCTCTGCTACGCGGCCCCGCCGCCCTCTGCTACGCGGCCCCGCCGCCCTCTGCTACGCGGCCCCGCCGCCCTCTACTACGCGGCCCCGCCGCCCTCTGCTACGCGGCCCCGCCGCCCTCTGCTACGCGGCCCCGCCGCCCTTCGATCGCGGCCCCGCCGCCCTCTGCTACGCGGCCCCGCCGCCCTCTGCTACGCGGCCCCGCCGCCCTCTGCTACGCGGCCCCGCCGCCCTCTTCGGTCGCGGCCCCGCCGCCCTCTGCTACGCGGCCACGCCGCCCTCTGCTACGCGGCCCCGCCGAGCCGCCCAGCATCAGCCGAGCCGCCCAGCATCAGCCGAGCCGCCCAGCAGCAGCCGAGCCGCCGCCGAGCCGCCGCCGCCTGAGCCGCCACCCGGGCCACCTGAGCCGCCGCCCGAGCCGCCGCTGAGCTGCGGCCGAGCCGCCGCCCGAGCAGCCCGAGCCGCCCGTGCCGCCCGAGCCGCCCGAGCCGCCCGAGCCGCCCGAGCCGCCCGAGGAGCCGTGCTGCTGTTCCTGAGCTGTGTTCCTCTGCTGCTGACCTACCCGACTCTCCCAGCCCGGTGAGACTTTCAGCTGCTGCCATGGCCACCCCCAATGTTCTTACTTTTGACGCTGAGGGGAGGGCCATTGACTTTGCCGTCTGGATTGAAGACCTGCAGCTGTACTTACTGTGTGATGCGATAGATGAGGTCTCTCTCTTTGACTTTGTCTCTGGCGCTGTCCCTGCCCCACCTGCTGATGCTGACTCTGCCGTTCGCTCCAAGTGGGCGACCCGCGATGCTGCTGCACGTCTTGCTGTGCGTCGCCACCTCCCTTCCTCTGAGCGTGCCCACTTTAGTCAGTGCAAGACCGCTCAGGCCTTGTACGACGCTGTAGTTGCACGCTACTCCTCCCCTTCCTCCGCTACCCTTAGCCGCCTCATGCTACCGTTTCTCTTCCCTGACCTCGCTTCCTTTCCCACTGTCGCTGACCTCGTTACCCACCTCCGTGCTAGTGACACCCGCTACCGCGCTGCCCTTCCTGCTGAGTTCCGCGCTGCGAACCCTCCTCCCATGTACATCACTCTCTACTTTCTCGTCACCCGTCTCCCTGAGTCCCTTCGTGTCGTTAGGGACCAGTTTCTCTCTGTCTGTCCCACCACTCTCACTGTCGACCTCCTTGAGGAGTCCCTGCTAGCGGCTGAGAAGAGCATTGTCGCTGTAGGGGCCTCTCGGGGTGACCCTCGCACCCCCATCTTTGAGGGGTGTGGTCCTTCCCCCCTGCTGCCCTCTGTCGCCTCTGCCGCTGCGGCCGACCTCACTGGTTTTGAGTCGGTCGGCGCGGCGTCTGCCCCCAGCGGCAGACGCCGCTTTGGCAAGGGCAAGGGGGGCAAGGGAGCGGGTGGAGCTAGAGGGGGCGGTGGAGGAGGCGGTGGGGGTGGCGGGGGGAGTGGGGGTGGCGGTGGGGGTGGTGGCGGGAGTGGAGGTACTGGTGGCGGCGGTGGAGGCGGAGGTGGCGGCGGAGGTGGTAGCGGAGGAGGCGGTGGGAGCGGTGGGAGCGACGGTCCTGGTGGGGGAGGTGGAGGTGGAGACGGGGGTGGCGGTGGAGGCGGGGGTGGCGGTGGAGGCGGGAGTCGGAGTGGCTCGTCCCAGCGGAGCAGCTCTGGGGGTGGTCAGCGCCAGCAGCAGCAGCAGCAGCAGCCGCAGCAGCAGCCACAGCAGCAGCAGCGCTCTCGCACCGTCCCCGCCCCTCAGCAGCTCCGTGAGTGGTACTCGCAGCGTCAGCGTGGTGGTGCGCTTGGTCCTTGCCCCTACGTTCTTCGCACCGGTGACCGTGCAGGGGAGAGGTGTGGAGGCGCCCACACAGCCCGCCGCTGCTTTGGCCGCCTGACTGACGCCTGGCGTCAGCAGTTTCCGGAGGCAGCTGAGATCCCCCGCTGGGGAGAGCTGTCTAGGGCTGGTGTAGCTATTTATGATCTTGATTTTGATGATATTCTCTCTGCTATGTATGCTGCGATTGGTAGTGATGAGGATGACTGTTACCGGTGTTTCCCGCCCGACCCGGGCATTGGTACTGCCGCGTCAGGTACTAGTGAGGCTGCTGCTCTAGGTGCCAGTGCATCTGTGCTCTCAGGTGCTGGTGAGTCTGCCCTCTCAGGTACTGTGTCGGCTTCGGCCTCTCACACCTTCACCCTTGACTCTGGAGCGTCTCGCTCCTTCTTTAGGGACCGCACCACTCTCACGCCGCTGAGTCGGCCGGTTGCGGTGTCCCTGGCTGACCCCTCTGGGGGGCCTGTCCTGTCTCGCTTCTCCACTGTCCTCCCGTGTCCGGCGGCCCCCTCTGGCACCCTGACTGGTCTTTACCTCCCCTCGTTCTCGACGAACTTGGTGAGTGGTGCTGACCTCCAGGATGCGGGTGTCCACCAGTTCACCCCTGCTCGTCAGCGGGTGACCCACTGCACAGAGGCGGATACAGGTCGCCACCTGGCTACGTTTACACGTCGGCCAGGGTCGAGCCTGTACACACTGACCACTGCTTCTCCTCCAGGTGCTGAGTCTGGTAGGGTCCCTTCGTCTGGTCAGGTGTTTGCTGCAGCGTCCAGGTCTGGTCCTGAGTCTGCCCCCTGCTCGTGCCGTCGTCTGTCTCACGAGACCCTCCTCTGGCACCACCGCCTTGGCCACCCCTCTCTGCTTCGGCTCAGAGGCATGGCCTCGCGAGTCCTTGTGTCTGGTCTTCCCCGGTCTCTCCCTCCCCTTCCTCCGGGCCCTGGCCCCACCTGTGTCCCCTGTGTCGAGGGGCGCCAGCGTGCTGCCCCTCACTCCTCCCAGTTTCCTCCCACAGAGGCCCCGTTGCAGACGCTTCACATGGACGTGTGGGGCCCAGCCCGCGTCCGTGGACAGGGTCAGGAGCGCTACTTCCTGCTGGTGGTTGACGACTACTCGCGTTACACCACAGTCTTCCCCTTGCGCAGCAAGGGTGAGGTCA